GATATTTAAGGGTAAGTATTTAGAAAATTTCACATCAATTTGAAAGGAAATTTTATGCTATTCAATCAAAAACAAATAGAAGAATTGAGGCTTATCCTTGGGTATGCCTTTTCAAATTTCCTTTTCCTAGTAATTGTTTTTATTGTATTTTATAAAAGAATCAGTTTGTGAGGGCCAGCATTGTGGTGCAGTTCCAGGTGCTGCTTGCAATACTTGTATCCCCAGAACAGAGCTCCTCTTCAAGTCCTGGCTGCTCTGCTTTTGATCCAGCTTCCAGTTAACATGCCTGGAAAGGCAGCAGAGGATGGCCCAAATGCTTGGGCCCCTGCACCCACGTGGAAGACCTGGAAGAAGTTCCTGGTTCTTGGGGTCAGCATTGTGGCATAACAGGTTAACCTGCTACCTGCAATGCTGGTATCCCAGACAGGTGCCAGTTGGAGTCCTAGCTGCTCCACTTCGATCCAGCTCCCTGATGACGTGCTTGGAAAAGCAGCAGAGGATGGCCCAAGTGCTTGGGCCCCTGCACCTGTGTGGGAGACCAGGAAGAAGCTCCTGGCTCCTTGCTTTGGACTGGCCCAGCTCCAACCACTGTGGCCATCTTGGGGGTGAACCCTAACTGTACCTTTCAAATAAATAAAATATTTTTTTTTTTTTAAGTTCTTAGCTCTCGGCTTCAGCCCTGGCTGTTGCAGCTACTTAGGGAGTGAACCAGCTGTTCGAAGATTTGGTTCTCCCTCTCAGTTGCTCGGCCCCTCAAATAAATGAATGAATATTTTAAAAAGAGAGACAGAATCAGTGACAGATTAGAAATTTTTAAATTTCCAATTTTTAAAAGATGCTCTTAATTTTTCAAAAATATAATCTGCCAACAGCTGGCATATTTATCTACAGTAATATGGATATGGTAACATATTAAGTTTCTTATTGCTGCCATAGCAAATTATCAGCAATTTTGCAGCTTAACACAAATCTATTGTCTCATGGTCCTGTAGGAAGAACTCCAGAGAGGCTTGGCTGCTTTGTGTGCTTAATCGTAAAATCAACACCAAGGTGTCAGCTGGCTGTGCTTTCATCAGGAGGGTCCCAGAAAGATCTGCTCCAAACGTCCTGAAATTGTTAGCAAAATCCTTGTGTTTAGACCAAGATCCCCATTTTCTTGCTCTTGTGAGCTGAGCCATGCTCAGCTAATGGTCTCCATGGCCCTTGTGCATGAATCTCCCCTAAGCCCCACTCCCCAGTATTTCAGACAGTAATGGGGCCCTGAATTCTTGTGCTTGGAATCTCATGCCCTCTTCTGCAAACTCTGTCATGACTCCAGGTGAACGTTCTCTTTTAAGACCTCATGTGATTAGATTGGGCCTACAGGGAAACCCACAATAATCTCCCTATGCTACAAGGACCCTACATAAGGTAACATAAACACAGGCAGGAATAAATATTTATGAGGTGACCCTTACGCTGCCTACCAGATAGGGAAGTCCAGGAGTCCTGAAGTCCTTGCTTCTTTGTATAGGGAATCTGAAGGCAAAAGCCAAAGCTTTTGATGAAATGAGAGGCAGTGGAGGTGACACAATGTAAATCAAACCCCTACAGGCAGCAGACTGACTACTGGACGCTGGGAAGTTCAGCCACTCCATTTTCACGTTCCCTGTGGTCTCACCCATTGCGTACTGAATAAATGTTTCCTGCTTACTGCACAGTGAGAAGGGACAACACACAGGTGGGGGTGGCCTTCCTTGCCACTACCAGTGAAAGGAAGGCAAGAGACAGAAAAAGAATGTATACACAAGAGTGGAGAAATGCAAATCAGAAGGAAAGAACAAAAAGCCGACCAGAGTCTTTCTCCTTGGGAGGCAACTGTGAAAAACAAAGGCCCTGAAATTGCTTTAAAGTGGAAGAGGAAGTTGAGCAGGCCAGGTAAAAAGAACAAAGGCCACAACTTTAACCCTGAGAACAATCCGGGGTCCAATCCTGGTGCCCCAGACACACCGCTTTATTATCCAGTTTCTTCTGCCTCACTAGACAGATTTTTTTTTTTGTGACGATGCAAAAAATGAGTTGATTTTAACTGTTCAGGAACAGAGTGGGTCAGAAAGGGAAAAGGCTGGGGGAGGCAAGTAGAGCCGATACCTCTGCTCCAGTCTTGTGCTTATCTGCAGAGAGCAGACACATTCATTGCTTTCTCCCCCACTTGAGGCCTGCACTCTGGACTCCCAATTTTTCAGTCAACATTACTGCTTTATCCCTTCACTTTTGAAACTGTTTTGCTTATTAATATTTGTGAAGTTAATGAGCTGTGCAGGTTCTTACCACATATTCAGAGAAGAATTCTGAATACTGGCTCAAATAAACCAAGCAGCAATGGTAAGTTTTTAAGCTTTTTATTTAGTGAGAGAAATGCATGCAGAGTGAGGGCTTTAATCTAAGGGAGAAAGAAAAGTCTGGAAATTAAGCTGGGGTCCATACCGAGCAGAGAGCAGGCCAAGAGCCACGTGCACCGAGCGTTTGGTTATGAGCAGCCACAGCAGCTTAGCAGGAACAGAGAAGCGAAGGCAAAGAGACCAACTTTGGGACGGTCCAGGCCTTTTATTCACTTCCAAAGGGGAGTGGTTCCGTAATCTGATTGGCAGGTGGGCATACAGGTGTGGTCAGGTAGGGGGATAAGATCACACAGGGGCGTGGTGAAGGCGTGATCTTCCAGCTCACAAACCTAATCAATTTATCCTATCTGCCTGCCTCTATCACTTTCACCTGCTTTTAAATCAAGTTTTAAACTTAACATAAATTGGTTTGCCAACCTTCTACCTTCTCTCATTTTATACTTCAAAGCTATAAATTTGTTTTCTACCACTACACATTAAATTACAGAAATCTGAAAATTGATTTTACCGCAGGACTCTTATCCCTTTACATTTCAACGTGACCAAGAGAGCATGAGCCTGATTACAGCCCTTACACCGCCTCACTAGCACTCACACTCAGGATTTGAAAATGTCCCTTAATAGAATTCTTTGCAAGATGGAAAAAACTCACCAAAATATTAATAGCTTACTCTTGCTGAAGTTGTGAGGCTGGTTTCTTCTTTTCCGTTTTCCCCTTAACACGCCTATCTGCTAGAAGTATCAGTATCAAGTAGACTTAGTATCCTAGGCTTTGTGACAGTAACATTCCTATAGGAGTCAGAACTGGTTACAGTCTGCAGAAACTGTAGTAGTCTACAGGGATCTACTCAATCACCTGTAACTCGGAGAATCTCAATGTTAAAGCAGGCCCCCCCCGCCGCCCCGCCATATGAGGAGACAGGAGAGGAAATATTAGACCTGCATAAAGAATATTCAGAAGTGTTATGTGTGTGTAGGGAGTGAGGTTGGATAACAGGCAAGCATACTTCAAAAAACGTTCATGGAAAAAATGGAATTACAAGAAAACACATGTTTTCCACGAACTTTCTTACAATGTTCTCAGCCTTCCTGAGACCACGTAACACACAAGGTTTGAAGCCAAGGTGCACTCCTCTCAGCAGTGCAAGCATGAGCAGTCTTTCAAAGTCCAAGATCCAGGTTACTACCCCAGTCCTAGCAATTACTAATCTCTGAGTTGACTCAGGATAAACTGTTTTCTCTCAGCCTCCCAACATGAGTTGTGATAGTTTTTGCTTTTTTTTAATTTTTTATTTGAAAGGCAGAGTTATACAGAGAAATATCTTCCATCTGCTGATTCACTCCCCAGATGGTCTCAAGGCCAGGGCCAGGCCAGGCTGAAGCTAGGAACCAGGAGTTTCATTCACATCTCCCACGTGGGTTGCAGGGGCCTGAATACTTGAGCCATCTTCTGCTGCTTTCTCAGACTCACTAGCAAACAGCTAGATGCAAAGTGGATCAGGGGGGACTCAAATAGGCCATATCGCATTTCAAGTGGCAGCCCAACCCACTATGCCACAATTCTGATTCCAGGTTGTGATAGTTTTAAATATGTTAACAAATTCTTCAACACTTTCCCCTTCAAGAAGTGGAACTTGATTTCCCTCCTTCTGTAGACTTAAAACACTCGTTTTAAAAAAAGTGTGGGAGTTGGAGCTGTGGCGTAGCAGGTGAGGCCGCCACCTGCAGTGCCAGCATCCCATATGGACGCCAGTTTGAGTCCTGGCTGCTCCACTCCTGATCCAGCTCTCTGCTGTGCCCTGGGAAAGGGGCAAAGGATGGCCCAAGTCTTTGGGCCCCCTGTTCCTGTGTGGGAGACCTGGAAGACGCTCCTGCCTCCTGGCTTCAGATTGGCACAGCTCCAGCGGTTGCAGCTAATTGGAGAGTGCACCAGCGGATAGAAGACCTCTCTATCTCTCTGCCTCTCCTCTGTGTAACTCTTCCAAATAAATAAATAAATCTCTAAAAATAAAGCGTGGCAGAAGTGACAATGAGATTAGAACAAAGGGCACCATGGCTTTCTCCTTGTTCTCTTGGATCACGTGCTCAGGTGAAGCCAGCTGCCATGTCAGAGGGACATCTTAGTAAGCCATATGGATAGATCCACATGGTGAGAAACTGAGGACTCTGGCCATCAGCCTTGTGAGAGAGCCAATGATGGCAGCACCAGAAATATCTCCATATAAGCTATTCCCAAATTTCTGACCCGCACAAACTAGAAGATAATAAATGCTGCCTGAAAAATCACTAAGTTTAGGGATAATCTGTACGTATTATCAATAGTCTCTATTATGGTCTCTCTGAAATACTAAGCAAACTTTTTGGAGTACCTTCATATATAAACATATATACATATAAGGACATTGTGTTTTCTTTAGAGGATGTACCAGATGGAAACACATAAGCAGAATTTCAAAGTAAATAATCTATGTAGCTTTAAAATATATACTGTCATATATATCCAAGTATATGACCTATAAATTGATTCCATAAGCCTCTTTACTACAACAATGAACATATCACCTTCTACTTCAAAAACAAAATAAACAATAAAAACTAAAAGAAAACCATAAATCCAAATCACATTGGGAGATTTTTATTAACCTGACATTCTTAATTTTGTCTATTATCTCCTTAGTAAATGTGCCTTATGTAATACAAACCTACAAGTGTTTCTTAATACCACAGAATCATGAAGACTTGCAGTTATCCATGTTTTATAATGATTAAAACAATGTTCAAAAATTAACATGTTACTTCACTGAAATACTTAAAAGAACATTCTGAGGAGTGTTTGAAAGCTCTGTTTATAAATAGTGATTGATACATTTATTACTTATTTTATGCTAAAGATAAACACATCTTATAAAAAACAGTTTTAATACACTGCTTCACTAATGAGATATATTTTAACCCTAAAGAATAAAGCTTTATCTTAATATATTTATAGGAATTTTATCCATGAAGAATTTTGTATACAACAATAATAAACAGGCATATTGCAAGTGACATTCTGTAGAAGCAAAAAAGGACAGCTGCAAGAAAAGAAACCAGATACCTGCATTAAACATTCTTTGTACAAACAGTCCACTGGGAACAGAATGCAGACCAAATATTTTTAAAAGTTCGTGTGGTTAGATGGTAATTACAATCTCCACACATTAAAAAGAAAAAGAACAATAACACAGAACACAGTATTCTTAACAATTGTAACACATTTAAGACCTTCAGCCATTTCACTGGGTTCCCAGATCAAATTGGTAATTGAAATTTGACATCCACATGGGCTTGCTTGGCTAAAGTCACTATCTCAGACAGCTTTACAACCTGAAAGGAAATAACAAAGCATTTATATATGTATAAATAATTAATATACAAATATGATTATATATAAATAACATAATTTATATATAAATAATAAAGTATTATTTATGTTAATTTTCACAAAAAGGTAAATTCAGAACTAAAGGAGAATGTAAAATTATAGTCTTTCCTATTTAAAGCATCTGGGCTCCTCCGACATTGTTATAAATTCTTTCAAGCAATTGACAATCCCAAAGGATGGTCAAGTCTAACACTCTTCATAACCCCACACTTCAACTAAACACTTTTTAAGATATATAAATGTATACATATATACAAGCTAATTTCCATCACATAATTTTGCTTGTCTTAATGACAGAAATTGTGTCTTTAGTGGCTATCTCACAATTCAAAGTGTATCTAAATCAAAGTTTACTTTGAAAAAAGGGTACAATCTTAACATAATAAATATAGGCATAGGAGTCTGAGTTTAGAAGTTAATATTTTACTTTCTGACAGTAAGATCAAAATTGCCAATGTGAATTCCAAAGCCCTCTACAATCTAATAATATCCACCTGTTACCATATAATACATATAATACAAAGCAGACATGTCTAAACCCAAAAAACAAATTCAGCTTCTCTTTTCCCAACATGGTTGCTAGGAAAAGCCCTGGAAGTCAGGCATCTCATATTCAAATTCCCACTCTGATGCTTATGCTATACAACCGTGAGTAAGTTAACTTATCTAGCCCAGAAATACTATGTAACACAGAAATACTATCACCAAACTCATATTAAATAAGACATCCTCAAAGAAAACAGTTCAACGCTCTAACAACAATAAATAAGCAGTTAATTGCTAATATCATTGTTGCTGTCACATATAACATTATCATGACTTCTACAATCTCCCAGTCTGTAAAAAGCACTATAGTCACAACTTAAATCAACTATTCACTTTTATCTCTTGTGTTCTATTTGAGCAAGTTCCTTGCCTATCCATGGCCACCAAATTTTTCTTAATTCAAGGCTTCATTGTAAATATGCAAATTTTTAAGATTTATTTATTTATTTGAAAGGCAGAGTTACAGAGAGAAAGGGAAAGAGGGAGAGAATCTTTCATCTGTTGGTTCACTCCCCAAAGGGCCACAATGACCGGAGCTGGGCCAATTGGAAGCCAGGACTCAGAAGCTTCTTTGGGTTTCCCACAAGGGTGCAGGGCCCCAGGGACTTCGGTCATCTCCCATTGCTTTGCCAGGTGCATTAGCAGGGAGCTGGATCAGAAGTGGAGCAGCCAGGACTAGAACCAGCACTCATATGGGATGCCAGCACTGCAGGTCACGGTTTTTATCCTCTGCACCACAGTGCCAGCCCAATATGCATATTTTTAGAAAAGATTTATTATCTATTTATTCATTACCTTGGCCCTACCTTATCTAATGATTAAACTAGCTAGAATCCTGCCACCCACATTCCCACCCCTCTCCAATTTATCCTACATTTCAAAGTAAAAACAGGCTTTCTGAAATATTTTCTCCCTACCATTCCCTTTCTCAAAATTTTTAATTTTTACCTTTGTGTTAAGTATAAATTCCTGTCTCCAAACTATTTAAATTTTGTTTCCTACTAGACAATTTCCCAAAGAAAAACAGATATTTTATTATTCTTGCAAAATGGCATCACATTAACTAAGAAAATCTCAAGAGTCTATTTTATAGGGGCCAGTATTGTGGTATAGCAGGTTAAGCTGCCACCTTCAACGCCAGCATCCTATATGGACACTGGTTCAGGTACCAGCTGCTTCACTTCAGATCCAGTTCTTGCTAAGGTTATTCTAAGAAAGCAACAGATGATGGTCCAAGAGCTTGGGCCCCTGCACCCAGGTAGGAGACCTAGAAGCAGCTCCTGGCTCCTGGCTTTGGCCTAGCCCAGCCCTGACCATTGTGGCCATTTGGGGAGTGAATCCACAGACAGAAGATCTCTCTTTTTCTCTCCCTCTCTCTCTCTGTAACTCTGTCTTTCAAATAAGTAAATAAATTTTTTAAAAAAAGTCTATTTTTAAAATATAAAAGCCTCAAAGAGTATTCCATGAAATGTTTGCAAACACAGATGGGAGACAATCAAGAGTTACTACCTAGAAACTTCTCTGTATCTACAAGAGAGTGAGATACATAAGAAACAAAACAAAGTACAATATGCTACTACTCATCTAAAGTAGGAGAGAGGAGGGACACACATATACTACATATATGCATTCAATGTGATTATGTTTCTTTAAAAATAGGGTACACCAGAAGCTTTTTAAAAAGTGGTTTCCTGTATGGAAGAGGAATGAATACAAAAGCTAGTTCTCTGAATATACTCTGTTTTATAGTTTGGACTTTGGAACCATGTAAATATATAATATAAAACAAAAAGTTTTCAGGGGCAGGTGGGGGAAAGAAACCTCTTTTAAAAAATGAAACTGTATCATGCTGAGGCAAAACATTCAATGAACTACTTCACATGATTTTTAAAATCCAGTTGTGGAAAATATTCTAAAAGATTGCAGATATAATTCTGAAACTAATTTCTGTAATCATGTAGTCAATATTCTTATTTCAAAACAGTCATTTCAGGGCCAGCGTTGTGGCATGGCCATTACCTGCAATGCTGGCATCCCATTTAGACACCAGTTTGTGTCTCAGCTGTTCCACTTCTGATCCAGCTCCCTGCTGATGGCCTGGGAAAAGCAGTGAAAATGGCCCAAGTATCTGGGCCCCTGCCACCCATGTAGGAGACCCAGATGAACTCCAGGCTCCTGGCTTTGGCCTGACCCAGCCCCAGCCATTGCAGCCATGTGGAGAGTGAACCAGCAAATGGACGATCTCTCTGTCACTCCCCCTCTAACTCTTTCAAATAAGTAAATCTTTTAAAACTGTCACTTCTGTACTGAGGAGCAAAGCAAATGAACAACTATGACATTGTGGGAGAAAGAAGAAACAGATGTCAGATAAGAAACAATTTGTATTCCTGGATTTGCACTAGAAATTTTGGTATATACTCACGTATTTATGTCTTTAAAAAACTGGGCATTTTCCTGGAGTTGCCACATAAAAAGCACAGAAACAATAACCAACCCAGTAAGCATGAGTACCCAAAAAGCCTGAATTATGGTCTAAAGACTGACTCATCCTTGATCTTAGCCAAGACTGTAAAGGAGCTCCTGAAAAATTTCATCATACCAGAAAGTAAGCCAGAAGGCATGTCAGAAAGACTTGATAATCAACTTGAAGAGGTTCCCCCTGACCAAAGATGGAACCATCTATATCAGTAACAGTAACTAACATGGACTGAACTACTCTGAATATGTTTAATTCCATGAGGTCAAATTAGCATACTAGGAGTGGGCATTTGGCACAGTGCTGAAGATGCCCACATTCACCATCACAGGGCCTGTATTCAAGTCCCACTTCCCACTCCAGTATCCTGATAATGCACACCCCAGAAGGCAGCAGGTGAGGGTCCAGATACTTGGGTTTCTGCCACCAAAGTGGGAGACCCAGAGTGAGTTCCTGGCTCCTGGATTTGGTGTGGGTCACCCTCAGCTGTTAAAGACATTTGGAGTGAACCAAAGCATGGAATCAATCACTCACTCTCTTCTCCCTCCCTCCCTCCCCCTCTTTGTCTTTCAAATGTATTTTTTTATAAATTAAAATGTGGCTACCTTAAAAAGAAATAACATACCAGTGGAGTACACATGCACTCCTGTGCACATGAACTAGACACACACATAACCTCTTTTTTTTTTTATTTTTTATTTGACAGGCAGAGTTACAGACAGTGAGAGAGATAGAGAGAAAGGTCGTCCTTCCCTTGGTTCACCCCCAAAATGGCCGCTAAGGCTGGCACACTGCACTGATCCGAAGCCAGGAGCTGGGTGCTTTCTCCCAGTCTCCCATGCCGGTGCAGGTGCCCAAGCATTTGGGCCATCCTCCACTGCCCTCCTGGGCCACAGCAGAGAGCAGGACTGGAAGAAGAGCAACCGGGACTAGAACCCAGCGCCCATATGGGATGCTGGCACCACAGGCAGAGGATTAACCAAGTGAGCCACGGCGCCGGTCCCCGAGACACGTAACCTCTTGAAAACAAAAGTAAAGGAAGAAACTACAGAAAACATGAAGGCCTGGGTCACCATTTTTAGGACATAAAAGAACTTACTATTTTGAAAACTATATTAAAAAAAGCAATCAAGTAAATATCCTTTTTTCTTTATGCAAAACACATATGATTGTAATAACTGTTGATCCAAAGCAGATTATTTTTTCAAGTACTCCATATGATAAATGAAGAATGATGGAATTAGAATATCATATTTTGCAAACCATAAACAAAATACTTGGATTGATTCTAAGCTATGGCTGCTAACACTACAAAAAGGTATAAATCAGACATTATAAACTTACTTATGAAATTAGACAACATCAACTATAGAATACTCTTGTCCCCTCCTCCCCCAAAATCAGATATGAATACGGCAAGTGTGTAGACTAAGCTCTCAGTTTACAGGAAACAGAAATGGCAAAGGAACACACTACACAAATAATGTTGCAGAAATACAGTTACTAAAATCCAGACCACAGGAAATTCTACAGGACCCTCAACCAAGATTTTTCAATAAATAAACTGCAGAAAAAAACTTTTTTTAAAAAACAAGAGGGAACCTACAAATTAAGGAATATAGTCACCTATTAATCAACTGCAATGCAGAGAACACTTAACAGAGACTCTAGAAAAAAAATGAGGCTATCAAGACAATTTCAACATGGATCTGTTTCTTTTTTTCATAGTAATTTTCTATCTTTTGACCCCCTACTCTGCTCCTTGGCCATAAATTCCCACTTTTCCTTTCTGCCCTAATGTAAAATCTGGTATTTATTCTCCATACCTACACAAATAATCCCCTGAACAAAGTTTGTCTTACTGTACTTTACCAACTGTGGTAATATTTTTTTTTTCAGTTCATTATACTCCTAACATTTAGCTGAAGCTCTAATTATTAGCAAAATTAATAGACAATTTTAGAATCTTATATAAAGACTGCAGACACTAAAAATTTGTCTTTAACACAGCCCACTTACCATTCTAGCAGCTTCATCCAAATCATCACAAGCAAGAATTTTAAGTCCACTGTCTGCTATCAGTGCCTTAGCATCATCAACCCGTGTACCTAGAAACAATTTATGAAAACAGAAATATGTAAGTTTTAAATATACATACAAAAGCATTTAAGATGTTTGTTATAACACATTATAAGCATGAAACTTCAACACAGGAAAAATTACATCATTTAGCATAAATGTTACTAAACTAAAGAAAATATAGAGGTTTAAATTCCATATCCACAGAATTCAGCAAAGTAAGAATTTCAAATGAATCACATTAAAAATTACACCAAATTATACCAATCAAAACCAAGAACATTTCTGCCCCATGGTAGAAATTATTTAAAGTCAGTTTAAAAATTTTTATTATATGATGCTTTCATTTAAAAGACACAGCTATTTGAAAACTGTATTTTGATGATGATGTACTGAACTACTTGGAATTAAGAACTTTCAAGCAGATAGGAACAATTATAACTTATCTTTTATACTCACCTTGTAATCGTACCACAACAGGTATTTTAATTTCCAAATCTTTTACTGCCATGACTATACCTTGTGCAATAACATCACATCGCATGATTCCTCCAAAAATGTTAACCAGAATGGCTAGTACCTGTGCAAAAAAAAATTGGTTTTGATAGATTAAAATTGAAAAAGAATGAGCACTTATTCTTCCATCCCAACAAATAGTATCTGTGCCTCTGATAAAAATGAATTTCATGGAAACATTTTCAGACCAAACTACAACGCCCTCTTCCAGTTCTCACTATTGCTGTGTGTCCACTGACCACTAGAACTTACTTCCAACTCCTGGGGTAATTTTAAAACTTGGCTCAGATCATCTTTTCTACTATATTCCATATGAATAAGGTCTCTTAATTCCATTTTTTTTTATGTTTAACACATGCATTCTCTAACATGACTTAGATTATTAATACGGGTTGAGTATTCCTTATCCAAAACGCTTGAGACAAAAAGTATCAGAGCCGGCACTGTGACATATCAGGTAAAGCCGCTGCCTGCAGTGCCAGGATCCCATATGGGCACCAGTTCAAGTCCTAGTTGCTCCACTTCCGATCCAGCTCCTTACTAATGTGCCTGGAAAAGCAGCATAATACGGCCCAAGTATTTGGGCCTCTGCACCCACGTGGAAGACCTAGAAGAAGCTCCTGGCTCTGGGCTTCAGATTGGCTCAGCTCTGGCCATTGCAGCCATCTGGGGAGTGAACCAGAGGATGGAAGCCCGCTCTCTCTCTCTTTCCCTTTCTCTCTGTAACCCTGCCTTTCAAATTAAATAAATAAATCTTAAAAAAAAAAAAAAAAAGTACTGTATATCTCAGACTTTAGAATTTTGGAATATATATAGATAATGAGATATGGGAATGAGATCCAAGCCTAAACATAAAATTCATTTAAGTGAAGCTGCTGCAGTGCAGCAGGTAAAGCCACAGTCTGCAGTGCTGGCATCATATGGGCACCAGTTTTAGACCTGGCTGCTCCATTTCCAAGCCAGCTCTCTCTATGGCCTGGGAAAGCAGTAGAAGATGATCCAAGTGCTTGGGCTCCTGCACCCACGTGGGAGACCCAGAAGAAGCTCCCGGCTCCTGGCTTAAGCCCAGCTCCAGCCATTGCAGCCATTTGGGGAGTGAACCGGCAGATAGAAGACCTTTACCTTTCTCTTTCTCTGCCTCTGCCTCTCTGTAACTCTACCTTTCAAATGAATAAATAAATCTTTTTTAAAAATTTATTTAAGCTCCACATAAGGTATATGTAAGTCCTTAAAGATAATCTTATACAGTATTTTTAGTGGACTTGCATTTTGACTGTGACACATCACATGAGGTCAGGTCTAGAATTTCCATTTAAAATGTCATGTCAGTACTTAACAAATTTCAGATTTTGCAGTTTTTATTTCAGATTAGGGATATGCAACCTGTAGACAATGTCACATGCAAGATTTCTAACTTAGTGTTTATAATCCATATTCTCTTTGTTTAACCCATCAATGCAACCAACTTTTCATACAAACTAGACCCTCAACTTCCCCTGGAGACCCACTCCTAGTTACACTTTACCGCCAAAGCTCAGGGCCTGTTTAAGTCAACATTCTTTCACTATCACACTGACAGGAATTAGTGATCTATCTTTTCCAAAAATAAAAAATAAATAAAAAAAAGGTAGGCTTAGTTTGTTCCGCTATTTAAGAACTTCTCAAAGAGTAAGGTAAAAAATGGGTTATGGGTAAACCAAAATATTGTTCCCCTTAGGACAGCCAGGAACGTTCTAAGATGGCAGGAGCTCCTAAGCCAGTGGACTCTGACTACAGGCAACCTTCGCCATCTAACTCCAAGGCCCCATTAAAATACTTTCTGCCGATGCCATGTATGAATTGCCGAGACACTGTTGAGACACATTAGCTATTCTACACTTTCCTTTCCACTATCATTTCTAGATCTAGAATATTCACTGTAGACATTAGCACCTCTCTTACCTCTCTGCTTCCCCCCTCATTCCAGAGAGTGTCAAAGTTCACAAGACATTAACACTGCAGCCTTAAAGTTACTCAGTCTCTACAAAGCCACATTCACCTCTAATCCATTTCAACTAATTTATGCCAATAAATCCTGTATGTGACCAAAATGAATGTCTCCAGAAAACCAAATGGGTCTTTGCTTAGCCTCCTCCCTTTTCACCGTTAATGCCTTTTGCTTGTAACTCCATCAAATCCAATGTTTTCCTCTTAAAAGCCTCTAGTCCCTTGAAACTTTTCTAATCTCCCAGTCTATCAGTTCTCAGTCTGATTTTCTTCACTGTACTGCCTGGAACCTATGGCTGAGTTATTCAATTACAGTAACTTTGCTGCTTAATTCTGTCGTATCCAGTCCTCTCACAGCCTAGTTCAAGCAATACATTTTTGGATGATGTCATTCATAGTTTACACATTTCAACTTGAAGAAAATGCAAAAATGCAAATATTTTTTAAAATGAAAAACCTGAAACACTAGCAATAATAAACTGGAGAGCAATAAAAAATGCAGTTATATTCTCCGTTAACAGTCTACCCTGGGGCACTACCTGCAGTGCCGGCATTCCATACAAGTGTCGGTTCTAGTCCAGGCTGCTCCACTTTGATCCAGCTCTCTGCTATGGCCTGGGAAAGCAGAAGAAGATGGCCCAAGTCCTGGGGCCCCTGCATCCGTATGGGAGACCTGGAAGAAGCTCCTAGCTCCTGGTTTCAGATCAGTGCAGCTTCAGCTGCAGCCAATTGGGGAGTGAACCAGAGGATGGAAGCCTTCTCTCTCTCTGCCTCTCCTTCTCTATGTGTAACTCTTTGAAATAAATAAACCTTAAAATATATATATATATTGATTTCTAGCTGGCGCCGTGGCTCACTAGGCTAATCCTCCGCCTTGCGGCGCCGGCACACCGGGTTCTAGTCCCGATCGGGGCGCCGGATTCTGTCCCGGTTGCTCCTCTTCCAGGCCAGCTCTCTGCTGTGGCCAGGGAGTGCAGTGGAGGATGGTCCAAGTGCTTAGGCCCTGCACCCCATGGGAGACCAGGAGAAGCACCTGGCTCCTGCCATCGGATCAGTGCGGTGCGCTGGCCACAGTGCGCCAGCCGCGGCGGCCATTGGAGGGTGAACCAACGGCAAAAGGAAGACCTTTCTCTCTGTCTCTCTCTCTCACTGTCCACCCTGCCTGTCAAAAAAAAAAAAAATATATATATATATATTGATTTCTAAAAAAAAATTTTAAAAAGTCTATCCCAACTTTAAACTGTTCTTAAGCCTACTATTCCACAGAAGCTGCTTTTTAATCTATAATCTTCCTTTCCCCAGTAACACCTCAGAAAAGAAATAAAGTCCTCTCCAAAGCTAACCTTGTCACCTGATTACTTTTGTTTCTCTACCTAATTACAGTATAGTGTCTCCTCCAAATCTTTTACTACACTCATTCTCTTCTTTATCTTCAAATCTCTTCTCTTCCTCCAGTGAGAAACAGCTCATTTCCTTGGCCTTTTCAAAAAATGAGCACTGAAACACATCACAAAGCTCTCCCAACCCCACTTCCCTTCAGCTGACAGCCCTATCTCCTTCCATGCTGTCATAGAAAAACACCCTCAGAGTCATCTCTGCAGGATGGCTCCACTCCTCAATTCCCCATCACAACTCAATTCGACCCCTGTCCTCTACCATTCTTACAAAGGCTCCCAATCATCTCTTTCAGTTCCCATTCTGCTTGATCATTCCTATAGCATCTGACATTGCTGCCCAGTGCCTTACTACTCAAAACTCTGCCCTGTCCTTCAAGGCTCTCGCTTTACTGATATGTTCCCATCTGTCAGTTAATTCTTTTCTTTTTTTTCTTTTTGGACAGGCAGAGTTAGACAGTGAGAGAGAGACAGACAGACAGAAAGGTCTTCCTTTTTCCGTTGGTTCACCCCTCAAGTGACCGCTACAGCCAGCGTGCTGCACCGATCCGAAGCCAGGAGCCAGCTGCTTCTCCTGGTCTCCGATGCAGGTGCAGGGCCGAAGGACCTGGGCCATCCTCCACTGCCTTCCCGGGCCACAGCAGAGAGCTGGACTGGAAAATGAGCAACTGGGACAGAATCCGGCACCCCGACCAGGACTAGAACCTGGGGTGCCAGTGCCGCAGGCGGAGGATTAGCCTAGTGAGCCGTTACTAGTAACACAGTTACTAGACCTGTCTTCTTTTATAATACTACATTCTGTTTACCACCCTATTTATACTATAAATATCTTAAGGGAAAGATTCATGTATTCCCAAGTTCAAGCCCAAAGTCCAACTCAAACCAACATTAACAGATACATGGCTCCTTCAATACTGTCCACATTGTCCCCATGAGCTCCTGTTCTGTTTCCAACTCTATCATCCATCATATCTGCCCCCCTGAACTGAAGCTCTTTATATTCTATTCTCCATTCTCACACCAGGATTCTAAAAGCCATACTTATAAAAATGAACAACCAAAGTTCTAATTTACCTTAGTAAATATTCAGTTGATAATTAAAGTCAGTCTTTAACACTCTGCTTTTATACTTTATACCAAAAGAAGCTATAGAAATACAGCTCCAATGGAATCTATTTCTTTGAATAATTAGGGGAAATAATTGTAAAATTAATGAATATGGCAAATGAGTCTATAAGCTTAAAGGAAAAGGAAGTGAAATAAGTTTATATTTTAAAATTCTATGGTCTATTATCACAAATAAAAATGTACATTTCCAGCATCACCAATAATAAATACTTACTAATGATCTACATATGCACTGGGCATTCTACCAGTCACTAGGAAAGGCAACAATGAATAAGATAGGATCCTTAACAGTGAGGAATTCTCAGTCTAAATTCAGTAAGACTAACTCCAGGGTGGCCCTTATCTTACTTTTCCATAAGCCTCACAAAACTCACATGGCCACACAGAAAAAAATACACCTTAATAACTATCTAATGAATAATAATGTGTATGTCTTTTGGATTAAGATGCTTCACATTCCTTGCATTTTGATAACAATTTATAAATTCATAGTTCTAAATTACTGCATATCTATAAGATAGATTATGCAAACATTAAGATGATTGCTTTGGAAGAGTATTTTGATAGGTACAAAATGCTAGGAAGTGTCAGCCTCCCTCCCCCTCCCCGAAAAGACTGAAAATTCATTAAAAGATATAGGTATGAATGGGTTAACTGCATGGTAGGTAAATTATATCTTTTTTTTTTTTTTTGACCGATAGAGTTAGTGTGAGAGAGAGAGAGAGAGAGAGAGAAAGGTCTTCCTTCCGTTGGTTCACCCCCCCTATAGCCAGAGCTACGCCAATCCAAAGCCAGGAGCCAGGTGCTTGTTCCTGGTTTCCCACGCAGGTGCAAGTGCCCAAGCACTTGGGCCATCCTCCACTGCCTTTCTGGGCCACAGCAGAGAGCTGGACTGGAAGAGGAGCAACCAGGACTAGAACCCAGCGCCCATGTGGGATGCCAGTGCTGCAGGCAGAGGATTAACCAAGTGAGCTACGGCACTGGCTCTAGTAAATTATATCTTAAAGTTGTTTTTATGTAACATGTAAGGCCAATCCATAGCAAATACAGTTATCTCTGGGAGCAGTTGTTTAGCCTCGTGGTTAAGACTTCACCACCCCACCACAGAGTGCCTGAGCTCAACTCCCAGTTCGGACTTCTGCCTCTACCTTCTTGCTAATGCAAACCCCAGAAGGCAGCACTGATGGTTCAAACGAATGGGTTCCTGCCACCAATGTAAGAGATCCAGACAGAGTTCCTGGTTCCTGGCTCCAACCCTGTCCATTATGGGCATCTGGGAAGTGAATCAGCAACAAATAGGAGCTTTATGTGTGTGTGTGCATGTGTATTTGTGTGTCTCATATAAAAAAGTTATTTCTGGATAGAATTAAAGATAACTTTTTATTTTCTTCTTTGCAGCTTTATTATCTCTTCCTAATTCCTGGGCATTTGTGGTCAACTAACATCCCCAGGAATTTTTTTCCATATGAATGGCTCCATGCCAGATCATCACTCCCAATTATACTGTTTTTTAATACCATATAATGTTCTTCCCAAGTCACATTTCATGTTCATAAGTTCCCCTTGATTTATAAATCAACTTACTCTTTTTCTCTCTTAACTTTTAATGCACTGACTTCAAATGCTCTTTCCAAACTATTGAGGTCTTTTAAATTTTAATGCTCACCCAGTCTAACAATCATATTTAGTTATTAATCAATTTACTTCTCACCACTCAAACTCTAAACACAAGCACTGCCTTACCTTTTTATCTGAAGTGATAAGCTTAAATGCTTCTGTTACTTGATGGACTGTGGCACCACCACCAACATCAAGAAAGTTGGCTGGAGTCCCTCCGTGAAGCTTTATTATATCCATTGTGGCCATAGCCAAACCTGCACCATTTACTATCAAGAAGGAAAAATGATTTGTGTTAGCAACAAATGGAGAGAAAATGTATTAAGCTTAGTGAATCCCAAAATGAAAACACGTGGTACCTAGGCAGCCTATATTTCCATCGAGACCAATGTAGTTGAGATCTGCCTTAGCTGCATCTTTGTCCCTTTCATCTTCCTGGGTCCAGTCCTGGAGATCAAAGATTTTCTTTTGGCGATATGCTGAATTAGAGTCAAAATTAATCTTTGCATCCATACACAGCACTTTGAAGGGAAAAAAAATGTATCTTAATTTCAAGACAGACAAAATAAACTAGCAAAATAAACATTATTTAGATTAGTGGGAGAACATATTAATTTTGTTACTTATTAAAAGTACTTCAATTTAGGGTCATAATAAATTCAAATTATTTCTTCAAAAAGAATATTTGGAAATTAAAACTGCCTCACCGAAGTTACTGATTATACATCCATCTTAGGCACTAAAAAAGCAGGTAGAAAAGAACCTCAAATCATTTTAAATTTTTATGGGTCCAGCATTGTAGTACAGCAGGTAAAGTCATTATCTACAATGCTGGCATTGGAAATCAGTGTGTATTGGATTCCTAGCTGTTCTACCTCTGATCCAGCTTCCTGCTAATGCATCTGGGAAGACAGCAGATGGTCAAGTACATGGAGCCTTGCTAACCACAAGATCAATCTCTCTACCTTTTAAGTAAATCTTTTAAAACACTTTTAAATTCTTATAAAATTATCAAGAATTAACTGTCCAGGCCGGCGCTGTGGCACAGGTTAATCCTCCACCTGTGGCACCAGCATCCCATATAGGTACCGGTTCTAGTCCCAGCTGCACCTCTTCCAACCCAGCTCTCTGTTATGGCCTGGGAAAGCAGCAGAAGATGGCCCAAGTGCTTGAGCTCCTGTTTTCCTGTGGGAAACCTGGAAGAAGCTCCTAGCTCCTGGCTTTGGATCAGGCCACCTCTGGCTGTTTCAGCCATTTGGGCAGGGATCCAGCAGATGGAAGTTCTCTCTCTCTGTCTCTCCCTCTGTCTGTAACTCTGCCTCTCAAAAAAATAATAAATAAAATCTTAAAAAAAATTAACTGTCCATGCTTATAGCTAACCCTTCCAATCAGATGCCAGATCCTAGCCCCTCTCATCTACTCAAAGATACTGTTTCAGCAATTCTGTCTTCCCTACAGTATAAATTCCTCCCATTAGCTAAATCCCACTGATTTACAAAAATATTGTCACCCTCTCCCTAAAAACAGAAAAATATCTTTTTGCTCCTACTTCCTCCTACTCTTTGCTTCTTGTATAGCAAAACTACTTGAAAGACTTGTCTGCATAAAAGGATCAGCAAACTATGACCCATGGGCTACATTTGGCTTTTACCTATCTTTAAATAGCCTGTGAGTTAAGAATGGGTTTCAAGGCCGGCACCGCAGCTCAATAGGCTAATCCTCCACCTAGCGGCGCCGGCACACTGGGTTCTAGTCCCGGTCGGGGCGCCGGATTCTGTCCCAGTTGCCCCTCTTCCAGGCCAGCTCTCTGCTGTGGCCAGGGAGTGCAGTGGAGGATGGCCCAAGTGGTTGGGCCCTACACCCCATGGGAGACCAGGAGAAGCACCTGGCTCCTGCCTTCAGATCAGCGTGGTGCACCGGCCGCGGCGGCCATTGGAGGGTGAACCAACAGCAAAAGGAAGACCTTTCTCTCTGTCTCTCTCTCTCACTGTCCACTCTGCCTGTAAAAAAAAAAAAAAAAAAAAAAAAAAAAAAAAAAAGAGAATGGGTTTCACATTTTTCAATGATAGAAGAAAAGAGGGGAAAGAAAGAACAAAGAGAAAAAATAGCAGCACCCAATACCAAAATTTGGCCCAAAAAGTCTAATGTACTTATCAACTGCCAAATCCTGTACCTAAAAATCCTAATACCAAATTATTCTCCTGCAATTTTCTCTTTTAGTCATTCCATTCAGGATATAATCTCTAGCACTTTACCAAAATGGTTCTTAAAAAAGCCACCTCTCAGGCCAGCACCGTGATGTAGCAGGTAAAGCTGCTGTATGCAGTGCTGGCATCCCATATGGGCACTGGTTTGAGTCCCAGCTTCTCCACTTCTGATCCAGCTCTCTGCTATGGCCTGGGAAAGCAGTGGAAGATGGCCCAAGTACTTGGGCTCCTGTACCTGCATCGGAGACCCAGAAGAAGTTCCTGGCTCCTGGCTTCAGATCGATACAGTTTTGGCTGTTATGGCCATCTGAGGAGTGAACCAGAGAATAGAAGGCCTCCCTCTCCCTTTCTCTCTCCAACTCTGCCTTTCAAATAAATAAATAAATCTTCAAAAAAAATAAAAAATAAAAACCTACCTCTGAGACTTCACCTTTCACTACTCTAGACCTTCCTCACTCCAAGTTAACTGCCACATTCTCTTTGCAGCTCCTGAACAGACAGAAGGCAAAAAGAAGCAAGCAAGGGCTGGTACTGTGGCACTGCAGGTTAAGGCAAAGCCGGCATCCCCTATCAGAGTGCCAGTTCAAGTTCTGGCTGCTCTGCTTCCAATCCAGCTTCTTGCTTATGTTCCTGGGAAGGCAGCAAAAGATGGCCCAAATATTTGGGCCCCTGCTTCCCTTGTGGGGGACCAGGATGGAGTTTTGGGCTCTTAGCTCTGGCCTAGACCAGCCTCAGAAGTTGCAGGCTATGAGGGGAATGAATCAGTGACAGAAGATTTCTCTGTGTTTCTCCCTCTGCCACTCTGCCAGTCAAATAAATAAACGAATAAATAAATGAATAAATCTTAAAGAAAGCAGCAGTTTCAGTTGTTGCCGAAGCCAGAAGACAAAGTTTGGTGTCCTGCTAATTATAATAGGAAAAATCAGTATTCTTTCAAAAGAAGACAAAAGAATTCAGAGTACCTACACTCTATCTCCCAAAATGTACAGAACAGAATTTTTAAAATTATTAGACTATAAACAAACAGCAAAATTTGACCACTAATGAAGAGAAAAAGCAGGCAAGTAAAACCAAATCCAAGATGACACATTTGGAGTATGATGACTGCAAAACAATGACTTTAAGTATGTTTAAGGATTTAAGGGAAAATAGGGTCATACTAAATGAACAGATAGGTCATATTTGCAGAGAATAAAAGTAAAAAGAAACCAAAAGGAAAATCTAGAACTAGAAAGTATCTTAAATGGAAAAGTTCACTGAATGTCCTTAATAGCAGACTGGTGATAGGTCAGTGATCTGAAGCTGGATAAAAATATATCAAGCCAGAATCTAGTAACAAAGAATTTCAAAAGGAAGAAAGGAATTTTCAAGCAAATGAAAACAAATCCACCATTACAAGACCTACACTAAGAGAAATGCTACAGGGAGTTCTTCAGGCTCAATGTGGAAACTTGGATCTACAGCAGTGATTTTCAACTGAAGGCAATTTTGTCCCCAGGAGGCACCTAGCAATGTTTCAAGGCATTTTTTTGTTGTCGTAACTGTTGTTAGACTGGCATCTAATTGTTACTAGGTAAACACTCTAGTAATCATACTATGATGCATAGGACAGCCTCCACATAACAAATATTCATCCATTCCAAAATGTCAATAGTGCCAATACTGAGAAACCTTCATCTATGTGTGTAACAGAACATCAGAAATACATGAGTAAATGAATAAGTATACAGAATATAATGAAAACCAGGTTGGATAAGAGAATTACAAATACAAAAATGAAAGAGAACGATAAAACAGAGCAAAATGGAAACAGTAGGCAATGCTAAGTATATATAGGAGTCCCTTGTACTATTTTATTTCTGTATTAAACGAAATTTTTTAAACAACTGGTTCCACAAATGCTGCCATCATTGCCCTTTTTTAAAAATTTATTTATTTGAAAGGCAGAGTTACAGAGAGGTAGGGGTAGAGGGGTAGAGGGGTAGAGAGTTCTTCCATCTGCTGGTTCACTCCCCAGATGGTCGTGACGGCCAGAACTGTGCCAATCCGAAGCCAAGAGCCAGGAGCTTCTTCCGGGTCTCCCACAGAGGTGCAGGGGCCCAAGAACTTGGGCCATCTTCCACTGTTTTCCCAGATCATAGCACAAAGCTGGATTGGAAGTGGAGCAGCCAGGACTCAAACTGGTGCCCACATGAGATGGCAGCACTGCAGACCAAGGCTTTAACCCACTGTGCCACAGTGCCAGTTCTTCTGTATCAAAATTAAAAAGCAGGCTGGGAGGCAGACGTTTTACATTCGGCTTAGAACACCTCTTGAGACGTCCTCTAGACAGCAAGAGAAGAGCCCAGCTAGGCCTTTTGCCAAACCAGGGAGAGGGACTGAACATTTCTGACAGTGTTTCAAGCCAGGCTCTCCAAGGGGGTCTGTTAGATATCCAGAGACAGTCACTGAGGATTGCTGTGAGCCTGGCAGCCTCAAGAGATCTCAGCCCCACATTTGGCTTAACACTTTCACATCTCACCTTCCCTTTCTCAAGAAAGACTCTGGTTCCTATAGTGTCCATCTCAATATTTCCCACAGGGCTCTGGGGCACTATCGTGCCATTGGGGCCAAGAGACTCGGGCCTCAAAGCTCCCCCTTTTTTCACCCTGGGATCTGACATGAGTGGTGTTTCCTGTGGTAAAAGACTGGCCCAGGCCAGTTCCAGTGTCTATGCATTGTCCCCACAGCTGCCCAGCCTCAGCCATGGCAGACCTTTGCCCCCAGTGACCTGGGGCCACGAGCTCCCAGAGATCCCCTTAATTTCCTCAATACTGAGAAGCTGAGGTATTCACACACACACACACACACACACACACACACTGACACAAAGGAATACGCAGTCCCCATAGTCAGCAGACGTCACAAAAACAATAGGGGGAAAAGTGCCGTATTCACAGTAAGCAGTGATTAAGCTGAGGAAACTTATCACCCATCATACTGAATAAATTAAACTTACCAACTATAATATTTATAGCTACATACTCTATATTGGCCTAAAGTTTCCATTGAAAATGTATAAAAGAAGTACTGGGGAAAACACAGCTGTTAACAAAGCCTGAATTTGGATTCATTGATACAAGCCCTCTCTTTTTCATTCCTACTGCTTTTGTTATCTTCTTTTTGTTGTTGTTTATTTTTTATTTAACTTTTCCCCTCCAAGAAACCTTTTATTTAAGGAATACAAACTTCATGCATTTCATAAGTACAACTTTAGACATATAGTGATTCCTCCCCCCAATACCCTCCCTCCAACCCATTCTCCCACCCCTCTT